GGTCTTTAGCATTTTGATTCCTGCTGTGTTATGGAAACTGGACTTTGTGTATAGTCTCTGTAAATAATACGATTACATCAATAAAATGCTGGCCTCCCTCCTCAGTTTCTCATTTACCCAGAAGCAATCTGCAAGGCCTCAAGTTTTGGCCAATGGCTCAGATCAAAAGAGGTAATGGTGGGTTTTTTTTAGAGAATAGTGAATCTTGTCAAAAGCAGCGTATTAATTTCAAATATAAATGAAAGTTGTTGCTTTAAAAGCAATTTAAGCAAGCATTTGTAGAGTTTCTGATATTTCACTATTCTAGTTTCCAGGCTTTCAGTCACAATGTTTTAGTTATATTGCTTGACATAATCTTATTATCTTTTATAGGCTCCAGTTCATCCAAACCTTTCAATATGTGCTTAAATTTTAAGTTCTAAGTATATCAGTAAATCCAGCACCTGTTATTTGTTTGGTGGGACCAGATTTTGTTCCCTTCCCGAAGTGAAGGTAATCCTACCCTCTGTCATTTTAATTGGTTTGGTGTCTGCCTTTGTAACCTGCTTCCTAGTTCCCCACATAAAATCATAGAATAGAATCATAGAAAATTAGGTTTGGAAGGGACCTCAGGAGGTCATCTAGTCCAACCCTTATCTGTGAGACTGTTCTTCTGTTTATATTTCCTTATCCGTCTGGTGTTTTCCATCTTCCATAATTTCACCTTGGAACTTTTTCTTTTAACTTTACAAGCGACTCAGAAGGATTTCTTCAGTGCTGACTGTTAAGCATTGTTTCTCTGATACTGGCTTTATCTTTAGGCATTAATATACCAGGAGCTTAGATTCCAGGCTAAAATACTTTGACCAGGTGTACACTAGGAGCATGTTAGTGGTATTTGCTATACAAGATACTCTGCCAGCAAAACTCCCCTAGGTGTGGATGCATCTTATACTAGCAAAGCTATGCTACTGCTGTATAGGTTTTTTTTCCTCCTCCCAGTTCCCATCTCATCCCCCAACTAAATTAAGCTATATCAGGAATGGGGTCATTCTGATAGTAACACTGCATCCACACTAGTATCTCTGGCAGATACAGCTGTGTTGGTCACAAATCTTACCTCATTACTCCCCTGATCAATGTAGCTCTATGCCACTATAAAATTTTGTAGAGTACTGCCTGTATTATTTCCCAAATAGCCTTGATTGTAACTTTGCAAACAGAAGCATTAGGAGTGAGAAGGGAAATCTGATCTGTAGAATTTTTAGTATGCTGCCCTGCTGAAAAAAAATTAGTCTCTTTTTTTTTTCCAATTCATGCAGCCCATGCAGCATATATTTTTTTCTGGATCAATACTCTGGATCTGGAGCCTGTGAATAATGCAGAAGCCTCAACTTTTGCAAGTGTTACTGCACTATTGTCCCCTTTTGTTTCAAGCAGGGCATGGAATCATTCCAACCAGACCTGTAGCTACCCGATACGAGTCTTGAGCTCCCTTGGGATGAACCTTAAACACTGACTTCCTGAATTACCATCTCAAGTGGTGGGTGCAATAGAACTGAGCGAGCTATCATATTCCAGCGGCTGGCATTCACTGAAACATCTGCCTTGCCTGCATTGGGCTTCTTTATGTAATTGTGCACAGCTTCCAGCAAGTCATTTGAGAATATAAATTGAGTTTCTGCAAGTTGGAACCACCTGCTTCAGATGATTTTTTGGCAAGTTCTCTTACTTACCCTCCATCCAAGATTGTTCTTATTTTTCCAGCTGCCAAACCCATACAGTAGGTGCAGATTGCAGTTATTGTCACATTTAAGTTTAACTACACACATAGGATGAAAATTTGTCCATGTTGAACTATGTACTATTTTATTCCTCTCTGCTTTCCATCAGGGCTTAAGTGATGTGGATGCCATGTGCTGTCTCCGTGCAGAGAGGATGCTTGCCTGTGCATCTTCCTTATCAGAACGCAGGCCAGGCAAGCAGGAGACTGGTTCTCTTTCCACTTTGGCCATAGACTAGCTGTGGGACCTTGGGCAAGTCACTCAAAGCCACTTTGAATATGTGAGTTTTGCTTTTTAGGTGCTTCCTTTCTTGGGTGCTCAACTTAAGAACACATAAAGGTTCATGACATTCAGTCATGCTGTCTGAAATAAGTGGGAGCTTGGTTGTGAACAAAGTTTGTAGGTGATCAGCATCTCTATAAAAACCATTGGGTAGATTAATTATACAGGTCTATGCTGTTGAGGAAACAGGCCCACTCACCCACTCTGCATATTTCATCCTTGGAAATGAAGCAGTAGGGGACACTCGGGGGATGCCCCTCGTCCTGTATTCCAAACCGGGGTTTCTGGGCTGCTAAAGAATAGCAGTGTGGGACACCCCCAAGATGCCCACCCCACCTTATTTCTGGCTTAAATGGGTACAGAGTGGAAATGGGTGGGGATAATTTCCTCAGCAGCAAGACTGAGCATTAATATCTGCTGCTAGCAGGCACAGGTACATTATTTTCTTTCTATTTCAGGATTAAGGCTCAGATTCTCAAAGGTGTTTATGTGCCTAAATAAGAGCTAAATAAATGTTTTTGAGAATCTGGGATTAAGGTCTCATCCAGCTGCTGCTGTAGTAAACTTTAGGAATGCCAAAATTCCCATTACATCTTACTGTCAGGCTATCTTCTTTGGAGATGAGCAAGCTTTGGGAACTCTCAAAGTCACTAGGGTGTACCTGGTTTGCAGAAAATGGAGGAGATTCCAACACACAGTTGCTTAATAGGGACAAGTGTCCCACAGAGATGATAGATCCCACTATGCAATAGTCCATCAAGCTGCTGTGATCCAGATGGAGATGTGGGGACTTGTTTGTCTCTGAAACATAACCCTGGAACACAAGGCCATTCTGAACTGCGCTGTAGATCTCTAGTTTCTCTTAGGTATGCAGGCTGCAGCATAGCCACCTCTGACTGGCTCAAATTCGTCCCACTTTAGTGGCAACCAGAGAATATTCCTATCATATAGTAGTTCCACCAAACCCATGCCACATTGATCACTGGTCTGAGAATAGTACCCAGTGGAGGAGTGCAAATATGGGAGGCCAGCACCAACATATCAAACATCCCTTTTGGCAATTGCCCCTGCTTTGAGCCACTTTTAAAGGTAGTCTTTCTTCAGTTAAAGCCAGAGGGATTCAGGGGGACAACATGCAGAAACTGCATTACACTGCCTGGTTTGTGGCTATAGCATAGAGAGAATACTTCAGTCTTCAAGGCCATCTACACCCTTCTACAGCACTTAAGCAACCAGCCACCCATGCCTGAAATATAAAGAGTCTTGTGAGTGCAGACAGACATAATAATTGAAACGTTTCCAAGTGAAATACACTTGGAAATGTTTCATAAAGGAAATGTTTTAGCCAGGGGGCACATGTACGCCCCTGTGCTGTTCCCAGCTGGAATGTTTCAAAATGCTGCAGCCTTCCCTAGCATCAGCCAGCGGCCACAGAGCACACTGCAGCAACCTGCAGGGACAGAAGGTAGAGGGGAGAGGACAAGTGGAGCGGGGGGGGCAGGAACCTCCCCCCCCCCGGCTTAAAACAAGGACTCTGACACTTGAGCTCCTATCTCTTCTACCTTGTCTCTCCCTCTCAGCTGAGCAGAGAGGTAAGGGTATGGGGCTGGAGGGACCAGCTCCAGTGGTAGTGGGGCTCTAGGAGTCAGCAGGGGTGGTTGGAGGGGTAAGCCTAGCTCCATGTCTGGAAGGGGTCCCAGCAGAAAGTGTAGGGGGTCACACTGGGGACCTGGTGTGGGACCCAGCAGCCGGACAGCTGGCAGACTATTCTTCCCAGTCTCCCTCCACCCTCCATTCACCCACAACCAAAAGTGAAACACCCCCAGAGTATTTGCTGTAAAGAGGTGCCATTCTGGAGCATTTCAGCCCCTTTTAGAACATTCCAAAGGGGTTGCACATTTTGTATGGCTGCCATTTGAATCGTTTCAGAGGTTTTTGAAACACCTTAATTGTTACATCTGTCCACACACTGCATCTCTAATCCATCCACGTTCTTCCGTTGCTGGAGTCTATTACTGTTTCCTCCTCTGTTTCCAATCTGTTTATATCTGGAACCCCTTTCACTCCCTGCTTCAGAGTCCATTGTCTTATGATGAGTTGTAGGCTTGTTTTTGTCCAGGGTGGGACTCCACTTTCCTTTGGAGAACTAGACTATTCACAAGCCTGGTCCTGTTCAGCAACTCTTTGATCTTATTGCTGGAAGTGATGGATGAGGCACAATCTCCTGATCCTGGTTGGGTTGTTAGAGAAAAAAACATCTCTTGATTTGAGAGCTGGGAGGGCTGATCAAGAATCACAGAGAGATTATAGCTGTGGGAACCCACGGTGCCAGGAGGAGCTAGCCACTTCCCAGAATATAGCTGTGTGCTGGGCGCATGCAGATCATATGCTAGGGATGTACAAGGAAAGAACTGGCAGCTTCCAAAAATGGCTTCAACCTCCCTTCTGCTAAGGGAGCAACACTGCTTAAGTGGGTAGGAAGGGGAGGGCAACACGGTCAGCACATCTCAGCAGTCCCACTGGCTTGGCACTGATGGGTGCCCAATGCTTCATTGGGTGGAGTATTTCCTACAGTGCTGGGGACTCAGCATGCAGAAATCTTCATCATTGTGGTTGGTCTGGAGCATGCTGCTCTCCTCCTATGTGCATTTGGCCCAGGTTACAGATCTGAATGTTTTGAGCAAGGCAGGGCATAGACACTGCATACTTTGTGGCTCTGGAGATGTTTTTTTTCCATGAAGGTTTCCTAGCAGTTGCACTCACAGCAAGGAATGATTCTACCATTTGTTCCCAAGTCAAATTACAGTATCATGCAAAGTGGAAGAAATGTGGTGAATGGTACGGGGCGGGGGGGGGAAGCTATACATGTGACAAAAGCTCAAAATACTAATGAAAACAATATAATAGCAGGCTTGCCCTTTTCCTGACTTCCTCCTCTCATTTGCTATTTGATAGCTGTTTGCACATTCAAGAAGCAAGGAGTTAGAAAAGCAGCAGAGAAAAACCAAGTGATACCTTTACAAGTGATGCTTCTTTTAGGAACCAGGGGCTGAGAGTGGAGGTGTGGAAACCACCCCAGGAAGGAGCTGCAATATTCTGTTGAAGGGCTAGCTTGTTCTGTATCTCTGGGGACTGGCTGCTTCTTTACATCCTAGTCTTCATGGATATTTAATTTGCTTAAGAGTAATGCAGCCTGAATATGCACCTTGCATTAGCATGAGTTTCTGAAGTAATGCAGCTGTTTTTTTTTCTGCAGAGCCCAAGCACTGCAGGGGTTGTGAGGGCTTTGACATGGCTTCTCACTTTTGTTCTTGCACATTTATGCATGGGATGTCAAAAGCAAATCCTACTGCTGTGGATGCAAACTCCTCTGAGTAAAGGAGTGTGGTGGGATTCAGCATAGCATCCATGCTGTGATGCAGAGCCCCGATCCATGAGGACTCTCTGTGGCAGCATTCAGGGTAGATCTTGTGGTTACCCAAAGTTGGCGTGTGAGGTTATCCCAGTGTGTAGTGATTTGGAGGGGGATTTGGCAGATACAGTATACCCTGAGCTGAGGTCCCCTTCTTTCCAACTTCCAAGCAGCCCAGCTACTCAGCCTGGAAAATTTCGCCCCAAACAGCTTTTCATCCTGAAAGTCAAGTTGCTACCTGCCGCTGTCACTCCTACACATTCAGATCTTTATAGCAGGGCTTTCTGGAGAAGCTGCTTCCTCCCCTCTCTCCTCCAAGCACATCAACATAATTAACATGCTATTTAAACAAATTAAACAACTCTAAGGAAATTCTCTAGCCAAAATCCTTCTCTACTCTGTAGAGAGTATGGCTAAGTACATACAATCAAAAAAGCCAGAGACTGAATCAATTCATTCTTCACAGGTTAGTCTAAGCTGCGTAGATTGAACCGATAAGCAAGTGAACAGACATTCATTTTTGATTCCAGAAATGCAGCCAAATGCCTGCAGCGGCCCAAGCCAGAAGCCTGGGGTGGGGGGCACTACAGCATACTTCCCTGCTCGGCTGGAGCAGACAGCTGGACCAAGGCTAGTCCGCCCACCCTGCAAGGTGGGGTTTGTGGGGAAGGTGCAAAGCATCCTGGAGGGCATCTGGGGCAGAAGTTCAATAAACAGATTTAACCTAAATAAGTTAACTGTGATACTATATCCATCCAGGTTTATCTTAAACTGGTTTCAGCCAGTTTGAAAGTGGTTTATGTACTCTGAACTTCCATTGTGTTACAGATTTGAATCAGTTTCCAATTACATACCTGTTTATGTGCAATTTCTGTCCCTAGCCTAAAACAGCATGAGAGTCCAATGGGCTTCATGGATTTCATAGACATTAGAGCTGGAAGGGACCTTGGAAGATCGTTGGGTCCACCCCAGGGGCAGGAAGTCAGCTGGGGTCATAGGATCCCAGCAAGATAAACATCCACATTTCTCTTGAAGGTATTCAAAGTAGGTGCTTGAACCACCTCTGATGGCAGGCTGTTCCAGACCTTGGGGGCTCAGGCAGTAAAGAAGTTCTTCCTTATGTCCAGCCTGAAATGGTCTTGTAGTAGTTTATGACCGTTCGACCTTGTCATCCCTTGGGGCACTCTGGTGAACAAACGTTCCCCCTGATACTGGAGGTCACCCCTGGTAAACTTATAGGTAGCCATCAGATCACCCCGAGCCTGCACTTTTCCAGGCTAAAGAGCCCCATGGTTCTCAGCCTCTCATCGTAAGGTCTGTTTTCCTGACCTCTGATCATGCGCGTGGCTCTTCTCTGGACTCTCTCAAGCTTCTCCACATCCGTTTTTAATTGTGGAGCCCAAAACTGGACGCAGTACTCCAGCTGCGGCCTCACCAAGGCCGAGTACAAGGGGAGAATGACGTCTCGGGATTTGCTTGAGAAGCATCTATGGATGCAAGCTAGCATTTTGCTCGCTTTACCAGCAGCAGAATCACACTGAAGGCTCATGTTCATAAGGTTCACAAGGTTCAGGTTCTGAGGAAAGCAAGGATGTTGCCAAGAATGATCCTACCCTATGCCCAATTTTTTTCCTTGCTGACATGGGTGTGAGAGCTAGAGTAAGGCTAAAGCCAGAAGAATCAGTCAGGGTGCAACTGGCATCAACATCCGGTTCTCTCTTTAAGCAACTTAAATTTATATAGTCCAGTTTGTGGGGCCCAATCTTGTTTCCCTTACTATCCAGACAAGTAAAAGAATGTATGTGGCCCCCATTACCACAGGATCAAAGCACGTAATAGTCATTTAACACATTTATCCTTGAATACCGCTTTGAGCCAGGATTGTGCTATTATCCCTGATACAGATGGGGACCCCAGACACAGAGAGATGCAGGCCAACTCTATGCACAACTTTTATACAGTTATGTCATTTAGGAGCATGAGGGTTTTTTATATAATGGTACAAGTGCTGGTGTAGATGCAGTTATACTGGTATACTTATGCCTGGAAAAATTAAATCTCATACTGCATGGTATGATTAAAACCACATGACTTCTGTGTCTAGACAAATCTTGCATGATATGCCAAAAGTCATGCTAGAAGTGTGTGGTAGAGGAGAGAACTGACCCCAGGTCTATCCCAGCCTTAGGCTCACCCTCTACTGCGTTTCTTCAGCTATGGGTCTGGGCCAAGGAAACTGCTCCAAGGGTAAGGCAAGTAGCATTTGATTATTTGGATTTGATCACGCACTACACACAGTCACCCTGCAATATCCAGGGTGCTTTCAGTTTCCCTGTAAAGTCTAAATTTCTAGGGTTTCAAAGCCATGTGAGCTGAATATTATTAGAAGCAATGATAATATTTTAGAGGCTGTTCCCTTGCGTATGTGATGGTGTTACAATGAGTTATAAGCCGAGGCAGGCAGAGTTCAGGAGAGAAAATTGCTAATAAGTTCAGTCATTTCAGATATTGGAGGTAGCATTGGGTCTAAAACTTGTGTCGTGTAAGCAAGAATCACCTCACCCACCCACACTTGCTAAATATTTAGTCATTTTTAACAAGTTAAACAAAGCCCTTTGATTGGATTTATGCTAATAGCTCTCCTGTAGGCATTTCTAATTCATTTACATTTCATTTTAAAATTGCCTGTGTACATTTCTGATGTGCACTAGCACCATTAGCAGATAAAAAGGAACAAGTAACAGGTCACAGACGCCACAAGATGGCAATAGTTGAAGAGCAATTTGTTTCAGGAAGAAGCTGTCTGGCTTCTTTAGCAAACCTGTGCTGTATTTAGAAGGGCACCACACCAGAAAGGTCTGTTTGTGCATTAACCTTAGCACTTACGTGGCATTTTCATTCAGCAAGCTCAAAGTAATTTCTAGAAGGGGTTTTCATTCCTATTTTGCAGAGGAAGAAAAGAAGGAGAGAAAAGACAAGTCACTCACCCAAGGTCACTAGCAGAGCTAGAAACAGAATCCAGGTCTCTCGGTTCCTGGTCTTCTGTTTCATCCAACATACCCTGCTGCCAAGTCTATGCAACCGTGGGTAACTTTGGGAGGAAAATAAACGCTATAGAGCACGTACGCAACAGGATCACTGTTGCGGCCCTCAGGGGAGTTCTTCAGTGGGAGAATTACAGGTCCTAGTCTGGTCATAAAAAACTCAACACGCTTTCCCTGCAAAATAGCTAGCTCAGAGCTCACTAGTACTCCTGGGCTCAGGCTAAAGGGACTCATTTGGTTTGGCTGGAAAGTGTGCCACTGAGCAGAGCTCCACTTTTCAGGACCCTAACGCCTGGCAAGTGAACAGACATTCACTTTTGATTGTGGAAATGCAGCCACATGTCTGCAGTGGCCCAGGCCAGAAGCCGGGTGGAGAGACTAGAGCACGCCTCCCTGCTTGGCTGGAGCAGACCGCTTGGGCCAAAGTTAGCCTGCCCACCCCACAAGGTGGGGCTTGCAGGGCAGGTGCAAAACATCCTGGGATTGGGGGACTGTGAGTTAACTTGAATCTGGAAGGCATCTGGGACAGAAGTTCAATAACTTGATTTAACCTAAATCAGTTAACCTATATCACCTACATCCAGTTTTATCTTAAACTGATTTCGGCCATTTTAAAAGTGGTTTGTGAGCACCAAATTTCTGTTACGTTACAGATTTTAACTGGTTTCCAGTCACTTACAGGCTAGGGACAGAAGTTACATGTGAACTGGTTTAAGTGATCAGAAGCTGGTTTAAACCTGTAATGGAACATAAGTTCAGTGCATATAAATGAGTTTCAAAATGGCTGAAACTGGTTTAAGGTAAACCTGGTTGAATGTAGTATATCAGACTTAACTGATTTGGGTCAAACTGGTTTATGGAACTTCTGTCCCAGACCCTTTGCTGATTTAAGTTAAATCAGAGTCCCCCAGCATCCCAACATGCTTTTCAGCCCTGGGCTGGGCTGGGCTGGGCTGTCTGCTCCAGGGAGCACGGCTGGCCCTACCCCTCTGCTCCCTAGCCAGAGCAGGGGTGGGGACATGGCCAGACACCAGCCTGCATGGCAGGGGTTTTATTCCTCCTTCCCTCCTCTCTCCCCCTGGGAACTGCAGCCAGGGTCTGCCTGGCCAAGGCAGAGCAGCCTCTTTTAGGATCCTCCTCCCCTCCCCACTCCAGCAGCAGGGGCAGGGGCATGGCCAGACTCCAGCTGCCATGTTCCCACCATCCGCAGGCCTCACCCAGGGTGAGGCTGGGGCTGTGGCTGTGGGGCTGAGCTGGGTTGACTAATAGGCGCTGCTGAGGGTGGGCATGGAGGGGCTTCTGAGCCAGCCTGGGCAGCCACGGGCACAACCCACACAGCCAATCCGGCTGCCAAGGTGCCTGCCCACAGCTGCAGTGGTGTTGCCTCCATGCCACTGCCTAGTGAGCCCCTGCCTGTGTATGCCAGCCCAAGGTGTCATGGACCCACAGCTGGCTGGGAAGTGTGCTGCCCCTGTGGCCCAGCCTGGGCTGGCCCCACTATCTACTTGCCTCACTCCGGACTGAGTGGGGCTGGCTGTGGGTGCTGGGTGGGCATGGAAGAGTCGGCCCAGACTGGGCTGGATTGTGTGAGCAGGACTGTTCCCGGTCAGCTGTGGGTCCGTGACAGCCTGGCCTGGGCTGGGTGTGGGGAGCTAGGAGCAATCCGGGTGCACAGCTCCCGTGGCCCTAGCCTGAGCTGTAGCCAGCTGAGAAGGGCCCTGCCCCTGTGGCCCAACCTAGACCGGCCCCTCTGCACCTGCCCTTAGTAGTGCCTGTGGGCCAGCCTGGCTCACCCTGCAGTCCTGGGCAAGGTGGGTAGAGGGCAGGGCCATGCCAGCCAGCTCTGGCCACACACCCCGCCGTGCAAGTGGCCAGTGGGGTAGAAAGCCGGTCAGACCCAGGCTGGGGTCCCTGTGCCTGTTCCCGAGAGGGGAGACAGACAGGGGAGTTTAATTCCCCTCTGTGCCCCCACCTTCATCTGAGGCTGCTGCCCACCTGGCTCTGGCTATGCCCCCTGCTGCACGAGCGGCCAGCAGGACGGAAAGCTGGGCTGAGCCCAGCTGGGGTCACTGTGCTGGTGAAACAGAGGGGAGATAGGAGAGTTTAATCCTCCTCCCTGTCCCCTTCACCGGAGGTGCTGCCTGGGCTGGTGTCTGACCATATCGCCCCCCACACTGCCCCAGGGACAAGCCTGGCAAGAGCTGCTTCCCCCTTCCCCCTCCAGGCACACCCTGGCTGGGGTCCCTGCAGGCCAGATGGGGGTTTAAACCCCTCCCCAATCGCTGCTGCTGAAGGGAAGGGAGGGCTCAATCTAGCACCCCCCGGCTTCTGGCTTGAGCCACCACAGGCATGTGGCTGTATTTCCAGAATCAAAAGTGAATGTCTGTTCACATGCAAATAGCTTCAATCTATGCAGGTTAGACTAACCTGCAAAGATCAAACTGATTCAGGCTCGAGCTTTTTGAATATCTGTACATAGCCATACCAGTTTATGTGTAATTTCTGTCCCTAGGCCAGACGTCTGAATGCGTGTGTGGCCAGGGAACCCAACACCCTGTTACATCTATATTCCAGAATTTTCTCAGCCCTCCTAAAAACTCAGTTGTATATAGCCATCATACTACCAATAGCAGCGGCCAATCTGTGATGCTTAACGTGGCGGCAAAAAAAAAAAAAAAAAAAAAAAAAAAAAAAAAAAAAAAAAAAAAAAAAAAAAAAAAAAAAAAAAAAAAAAAAAAAGGAAATCCAGATACCAAGTTTGGGGGATGCCTTCACAGCCCCCTAGGTGACCAAACAAACCCCCTGGCACAGGATGAATTAAGTATGACATAAATATGGTGCAATAAATAAAGCCCCTTGATCAGGATTAATAATGTAGTTGGGAGCTTAGTATCCAGGCCATTTAAAGAGCCACATACCTCAGCTCTTACTCGCTCAGTTGTTCATGAATATATGTTTTACTGCAATAAGTCCTGTTCCAAACAGGGCCGTGCCTCAGCCCAGCAGAGGAGGTCACTGGCACGGTGCGGCGCCTGCTACAAAGCACAGATAGGGCCGAGGTATTTATTCCATAGCAAGTGGAGTTCCCAGAACTTCTCCTCGGTTGAAGCAAATGACTTTGCTTATAAACAAAAGGTTCAGAGTGATTATATATTTATCTCCTCAATTCGAGTAATGCAGTTCTTCCCTCACTAGAGTCCTTGAGTCTCTACTCTGAGACTCTAGTGCTTTGTTATCTGACTGGAACAATTGGTAACGTAGTGGCTTGACTAGGGTCCATGAGAGGTTAGAGACAGGATTTTCAACCAGGAGCACAAGCAAAAGTTACTGGAAACTCAGGAAGAGTGCTCCCCGGCTAGCAATGATCCTCTGCAGGCCTCAGCCTCTCTCACAATAGGTCAGGCTAATTTTCAGGGAAGACCCCCTTTCAATGGGGCCAAGGCTTCTTTGGAAGGCCAAGGTAGTCTGGGAAAGGGGGAATGCTGAGAAAAGAGAGGAAGAAATAAGGGCAGGGCAAACCATATGACATATGCTCAGCCTCCCCTTGCTGCAGCCTTGCAACATGCTTCTACTGCCGTGAGCAGCTCATGCAGATTTACTACCTTCCTACTCATGCCACCGCGTTTAACATCGCCACTGCATCTGCACTTGTCCAGCCAGCATTGGGTCAGCTGTAAATGGCACCAGTTTATGCATCTGTGCTCACACACCACATAACCTTCTGCCAAGCTGGAGGCAGCAGGAGAGGAATCAAGAAAGAAGTTATGGAGGGATAAAGACTTAATGATGGGCTTAAGCAGCAAAGGGGGAAAGAGAAAAAAAGAGATGCAATGGCCAGTCCTCATTCTCTGGCCACTGGTTTGTCCTGGAGCTCCAAGGAGTCCAGGCAGGGACCAGCAGCCAGTGGGTCACATTGTTGCTGTTACAGGTGGCCTGGAGCAGTCCCCTTTTGAGCTGGGGCTGCGCAGTGTGCTAACCACTAGATCAGACTGCTTCCCCAAGGGGCTTTTGAAATGTTAAATGAAAGATCTCCAGCAATCGATCACGCTCAATAAAGGGTAGATGAGGAGCGGTGCTCCAGCTCGTTGCTGTAATAGATATTAAATGCAAAATCTATGTTAATGCACTGAGGTTTGGCACAGTTTATGCTCATAAGGTTGTGCAGTCAGGAAGGTGATGCCCTTAGAGACAGAGAAGTCAGGAAATGAAACAGTTCTCTTGGTGAGATTAACTTACCCAAATTGTACATCTGCATACAGTTATGTGCTTACTAATTAGACTGATCCCGTATATTTTTATGCAGAGCTGCATGTATCCTGGGGGTGGGATGGAGCTCTTCTGAGCATCTTGAAGTCTGGTGCTTCCTTGAAGAACAGCTGTTCAGATGGTGTCCTGTACTGTGGGCCAGGGATGACCACATTAAGACAATTACAAGTGAAAGTAAAGGCCGATTCTCAGCTGAGGTAAAGTGAAGTCTGTGGAGCTACACAGATAAGCAACAGCTGAGGATCTGCGTCAGCTTTTTAAACTGTCACCCCTGCAAACTGTGCCTTACCCAGCAAATGCAGCACCAAGCCATAGCCGCTGCCCAAGCCTTGTAGAAATGCTCTAAAAGCAGCAGGTGATGCAGAAGCCATTACATCTCTGGGCAATCTGTTCCAGAGGCTTGTTGCCCTCAATGCAAAAAATACTGCACCTCATTTCTAGTCCAAAGCTTCTAGCTACAGCTTCCAGCTATTGGTCTCACTGGGTGTGTCTATATGGTGCAAGACAGTGTTAGGCCAGAACTTGATCTACGTATACTAGTTTTGCAAACAGAAGGCATACAGATGCATCAGTACAGTACTGCATCCAGGGCATTAGGTGACTACTTAGATTAGGGGCAACACCTTGCTGATATGCCTATACTGCTTTCAGTTCTGAAGCTAATAATGCATGCTGGCATGGCTTAGGTATTTCTGCATGGCACTGTCTTGCACTGTGTGGACTGTATACCACCTAGATGGTTTACAGTGAACCTGGGGTATCTGCACAGCACTGCATTTTGCCATGAAGTCATACCCATTACCTCTTTTTTTTCTAGACTGAGGAGCTGCCTATAGACCTCTCTTTCCCAAGATGATATTTATAGACCCTAATCAAATCACCTCTTTTTTTGGATAAGATAAATCAGTTGAGCTTCATAAATCTCTGCCCTGTCTCTCTCAAACAGCCAAGTTGTACAAGGAAAGGGGGAGAGAAGCAGAGATGTTTAGTTTGGGGAGAGGGGACAATAACAGCAGCTTTCAGGCTGCCACGAAGAGGGGGAACAACTAACCGTTTTCCCTTGCTACAGAGGGCAAGACACGAGGCAATGGGTTTAAACTGCAGCAAAGCAGATTTGGATGAAATCTCAGGGAAAACATCTTTACTGTAAGATCAGTAGGACAGTGGAATAAGCTGCCAGGTAAACCGTGGAATCTACTTCCTTAGAGGTTTTCAAGAGGCTGAATAAGCATCTGGAACGCGGGCAACCTGCCCTTGCAGTGAGCGCTGGGAGCTGAGGTCAGGAACTAGTTAGGAGTCAAATTAAGGTGAGGAAATGGAAAAATGGGCTGAAGAGTCATAGGTCAGTGTCAGGGCCAGGAATCCCAAGTCTAGGGCAGGACATGAGGGCCAGGACTGGGAAGGGGGACAAGGTAAATGCAGAAGCTGGGGGCTGGGAGCACAAGAATTAGGACTGGAGCTGGGAGGTAGGGGCATGCAGGAAACAGGGCAGGAGCGGGAGGCAAATTCACAACTGGTCAGAGAGCAGGGCAGAGCTGCCAGCTCTGCTGGCACTGAGTAGCTGACGTCCTCCGGGAGGATGGCCCTTATACCCTGAGGTCTGGCGTCCTGGAGCCAATCAGGTGTTCAGGCACAACTGGACCCAAACAGGTGGCTTGTGGCAGGCCTTGGGCTTGGTGTAAGCCATGGCTAGGCAATGTTTTTGGCCAGAGTGCCGAAAAAATTGCAATGTCTACCTTGTAAGGTGCCGGCATGTGAGAAAAACAAAACCAGGGTGAGGGGTATATGGCAGGGTGCACTGCATATTAATATAGTTAATAATCATAAATGCTGGGTTTTTTTTTTTACCATAAATACCAGGTTTTCTAAAAATTCTAAACCTGGTGACAGTAAATAAAACTTCATATACTATCTTTGTTGTTGTGTATTTTTTTTGTTAATTATGTTGTGATGAGAAAGAGAAAAAAGAGAAAGACAAAAAGGGGAGAAAAAGAGAGAGAGAAAGAGGGGAAGAGAAAGAAAAGGAGAGGAGAAAAAGAGAAAAAAGGAGAGAAGAGAGAGAGAACCAGACATACATGTACACATGGACAGAGAACCAGACACACGTGCACATGCGCAGAACCACCCACGCGCAAACACAGAGAACCAGACACACACACACAAACACACCCAGAACAAATGCGTGCATGTACACACTCCCAGAACCAGACACACGTGTGCCTGCATGCACACACAGACACACAGAACCAGACATATGCATGCAGACAGAAACAGAACCAGACATACAGATGCACATGTACACACACAGACACAACCGTAGACACACACACAGAACCAGACACACAAACACACGTGTGCGTGTGACCGCATGGCTAGGCTGCTGGACCACAGGACAAAGTCCGATCTGATGATGCCCTGGGCCTGCTGCAGCTCCTGTGCTTCCTGGTCCGTCCATTCAGCCAGCTGCAGGGGCAGCACTGGGGTAGCTGCTGCCTGCCATGGGGCCTGGGCTGCTTGCAGCAGGGCTTGCAGCCTCTCAGTCGCCTTTGGAAGCAGCCTGGCCTCCATGGCTGACAGCAGCTGCCCAGAGCCGAGGCCAGCAGTGGCATGGCTAGCAAAATGGCCTCATGTGCCATGCTCTGGCACATGTGCTGGGGGTTGCCGACACCTGATGTAGGCCATTAACGCTAATGATCATCATCAGCAACAAGGGTTCTGCAGGCCAAGCTATGGCTGAAGTTACACAGGGGCAGCCCCAGCTGTTTTCGGGTTACAGCTCCTGCGAAGCCAGGGCTCACGTGAGTATTCCCACTGCCCGAGTAGAATAAAAAAGTGCTTTAACTGTGTCAAACCTGGAACAACTGGGCCTGTTTTGTTTCACTTACCACAAGTGTGATGTTTGTGCTTCTGTTGCCAAGCCAGGCCAGACAGGAAGAACATCCATGACTTAGGATAGCTCAGAACATTATGGGGCAAGCATGGAGAACTGCAAAGCGAATGTGCCTGGAATGGGAGCAATGACAAATGCTATGGTAACTGCAAGGTAAGAGGCTGATAAAGGTCCAGTTTACTGCATGATCTTACCTGCAGCCATTCTAACTGAGAGCAGAGAAATGCTGGGGTGTACTAGTTAGATTATATTAAATGCACACAGGCACAGCAGTTGGAGGTGTGATTATCTACCAACTGCCCTCTTGACACTGTGCTGTGAACCCAACCGTCTAATACTTACTCACCGTGGTGAACATTTAATACCTGAATTAGAATTTGTGCCCATGAATAATCCAGTGGAAGGCAATGGCACGCTCACATGGGTAAGTACTTCTTAACAGAAGCACAGGATACACTCTTAGGCTAAAGATGACTCTGAGCACATTCCACTGATTCCCTAAAGAGAAATAAAGATACAGATATAAAAAACATGTGAACCATCATCATTTACTCATCAGCTGCAGTAAACAAAGGCAGGCAACGCAGACGATTCTGTGTTAGTTTACTGTAATTTGACATTTGATTTGACTTTATTTACATCAAGAGGATAAAGACAACATTTATATCAAGAGGCTGTATTCAGACTCATACTGTGAATGCAGGCTCAATATATTTTCTCAGATCAACAGGCCAGGTAACTTGCAGGGGGGGGGGGCGGTCAGTGAGGTTTCACCAGAAGTGAATTGGGACTATCGTGCCTGCTTCCTCTCAGGTCAATGTTCTTTTCCTAATGATGGCTGAGGTCTGATACACAAGTCTGTGGTAGGAGAGACTTTAACCTCTCTGGACAGTCCATCGCTGACCTCCGAGTAGCTGTTCTTAGAGAACAAAAGTTTAAAAATGAACTTAAACGCAAAATTGAGGAACACGAAATCATCCACAGACTGGATTGTATTAAGTATGGTCTAAACAGAGACTATGGATATTTATCCCATGTCCTGGATTAGCTTTTGTGATTCCCTTGGGTGGGTTTACTACTTGTTTGCCTCTCCCAACATTGCTCCCTCTCCCTCCTCTCCCTTCCCTTCCTCCCTCTTTCCCTTCCCTGTCTTTTGTATTCACATCATTCCCTGTACTTGATACGCTCTTCTGTGCACATCTTTTCACAGCATATGATGAGGTGAGCTCAGGTTCACAAAAGCTTCTGCTTATACATCTCTAATTTAGTTAGTCTATAAGGTGCAAATCTATCCTAAAGCCTGAGACATCACTCCTGAGGAAGGCTGACCAAACCTTGCTTTGATGTACTTTGCCATGTGTATTTCAAACCTGGCTTCTGCGATCGCTGCTATTGTCTTACCTCATGTCAAGTATGGAAATCTCAAGCATGAGTAGTCCAAAAGCAAGAAAACCAAGCCCTTCCCTTCCAAGTGGAGAGGAATGAGAATCGTCAGTCACAAATGGGCTTCAGGAGCCTGCATGCCTCTTCATTTTGTTCTTTGCTTAGAAATGCTATCTTGTGATTACCTTCCACTCCTAAAAGAAGTGGCTACTACAGATGCACTGAACTAGTGGCTTTCACCAAGGATGTGCCTGCTGGTTTTGGTCTAGGCTTTGTAACTGGTGATCTCAGGTACGGCAATAGCAAGAGACTGAACCTAGGACCAAAGAGGTCCCATCCAACCCTTTGTTTCTATAACAAGCCTCTTTGCTATCTCCCTGCCATCACCGCTGCTGGCTTGCTGTTCAGCTGTGTCTGTTCTGGCCCATGATGGAGCTATGGGCTGCTCTAAGCCCATGTTGAGAGGTGGTACATTAAAGCAAACAGAACAGGTTAGAAGACATGGGGCAGTGGTTGGTACAGTTGAGATCTTGCTGTGGTAAAGGCTTGAATGAAACATTGAGAACCAGTAGAGCTCACATCCTACCCAACCTTACTGGTTTTAGTCAAGTGAAGCATGCAGATATGTATTTGCAGGATCAGGCCCTACAATACCTAATGCTATGCATGATATTATGGTAATAACCTCGTTTTTGCTTGTTAGGGAACATGGGTTCAGATATTACTAAGAAATCTCGTTTGCTGTTACATATGTAACATGTATCCCAAGTCTTTTTTTTTATCCTATTGGGACTCTTTCACAGTGCCTGTATATCCCTACGGTAATATCCACCAGTGACTCACTATATTTCATTTCCTCCCCATCATCCTTTCTCACTGTTCCTGACATGACTTTTTTGGATCTTCCATTGAATGCAATGTTTTCCCTCAATTGATTGGAGTCAGCCTCTTTTCTAACTCTGCTTCTAATAACAGTTTGCTTTGATGTCTTAACGCAGGGTCCTCACTGCTTCTGTTTTCTTTGATCTTGCACAAACTTTGATGCATCCTTTCAAACTTTAGGGAATGAAGCTCAGAAATGTGCCAGTTTGTAGATCATAGAGTGCCAGCTCTTATGTGTCTTCACAGGAGATGCAGAAATCTGGGTGAATGGTTGAGATCCTGTTGT